ATATTTTAATTTATATTAAACTATAGTACCGGCACACTATGATGGCCGTTTTAAAGTTTGTCCGCTCATCAAGTTTCGTATTAATTCATAACTCCTTTGAAGGAGCTAATTGATGTACATTGTTGTCAATAGTGAGGTGCAGTAAAATTTATGGATGTATAATTTTAGGACACAACTCGGCATTTGTTTATCGAAATTCGAAATTTAAAAAAATGAAATTTAATACGATCGTCACTTATAGGATCGCTGGCCAGCACAACTTTTACCTTCGACAAACTCGCGTCAAAGCTCAATGCAAAACAAAGCAGTGTAAACATTTTTATTTTCGTTTTATTAAAACTTTTTAATCAGCTACCCCTTGCAATACTAGTTATAAATCTATCGGTCATCATAGCGTGCCGGTTACAGACCACATAAATACTAGTAATAGACTGGGCGGGGTCCGCGTTACCTAGCTTATCACCAGACGGGCATATGAGTGTCAACAGCGCGTCAGTCGTCGTTCAAATGTGATACATGATTATTTTGTGGAAAAAATAGACATAAATTGTGAATTGTGCAGTTCTATCATGTCGTGTAAGAAACCAAAGTTTAAAAAATACTGTGGGAGTGATTTCGTTTCATCGGTAAGTACTAAAACTCTGTATCTTCTAATATTTTCAACAACACAATACTATCATTTCCAAACAAAACTATTTTCTTGCAACTCGGTAATAACAATATACATTGGTTGCTAGCCACCGCCTTAGTCAAAAGAACAATTTTAATGACGCTCAATGAATTGCTTGCACTAGTGTCGTATTACACTTGGTACTGGGTCCGCGTGTTGTAATCAAATTATCGATATGTAGAAACTCTGTATTTAGACACCCGAGTTTGGTTTAGTTCAACTTTTTTTTAATCATGCTATAACAATGTGTAAACATAAATTGTTTACAGGTATTTAAAAGCTAACAATTTTGATTACTTAAATGTTTGGTCCTAACACTAGCAATGGTTTTTAAATTTTGAATTTAAGTGAAAACGATATATTAATGAAAAAAAAAAGGAAATATAGATAGAAGAGGTACAGTGTCGATAATTTTACAATGCACGTAAGTTCGTGGAGTATCAAATGAAGACTTTATAAGATTGGAGATTTTCTTTCCCTTATCTACATGATTCCTATCTCCTTACTTGCTTATTATACGTCACCTTCGTCCGCTTGAGGTCTTAGTTTTATCACGGGCATGATTTACATTTGCAGTTTTTGTATTGATTTTTTAGTTTCCCGCCGGATCCTTTTCAAAGGAGAAAATGGGCTGAAGCAATAGGCAGTAAAAGCTGGGTACCTACTAAATGTAGCACCATTTGCTATAGGCATTTCATGACATCACATTAAATTGTATACATATGAATAACAACCGAAAAATTCATTAAGAAATAAATCATTTGGTTAATCAGGTAATATATGATATGAAACTCAAGAGTCGCAAATTATAGGCCACATCTAAATGTGAAAACATTTCTTGTCAGTTATTTTTCGTCAAGTTTTCATGAAACTAATGATACGTTTCTTCGCCTTCGGAAATAAGTATCTTCATTTTCTTGACAAGCTCGTCGACGCTATCGGTGTAGTCATGTTCAGTCAGTTCAGAAAGAGGTAATTGTTGAACAAATAAATCATATTTCAGGGAGAATAAAGATTTTTATGATGACTGCGTTTTAATATTTCAACCCTTCCAGTGATCGGATTGACTGGAAATCTAGTAGTTTAATTAAAGTACATGACAGTATAATAAATCATTAATACAGTGATTGTAGCATGTAGGTACGTATACGCACACGCCTGCGTAGTTATCTAATATCAATTAATATTTGCGTGTAGTAAAACCTTATGCGTAGTTGGTAACAAATGTGTGCGTGTAAAAGTCATGCGTAGTTGGTAACAAATGTGTGCGTGTAAAAGTCAGCTACGCTAGTCTCGAAGACATTGCTTTAAATGCCGTTTCCATATACTCCGTGATTAACCCTAATTAAAGCAATACCTAGTTCCGCTAGTTATGAAACATAATGTCGATATCAATTAAATGTCACATCCCTGTCTGTAGATTGTCACTTTTTGCTTTTGTTCCAAGAAGTTTATGTTCATAGGATTCTTAGCTTTTATGTGACTAGTAATAATAAAACCTTATTAGATCCAAATAAGTTTCAATTTTTTGTACCAAAAGTTTTTTATTATTGTCTATTTTCGTTTGATAATTTATAACCAATCAAAATTATGTTATCTTAGTACTAACGTAAGATTACGTTTTCAAATGTGTGCATGTGGCGACACCGGTTTTGATACAAATGTAGCTTGATGCCATTTCCATTCTTTTCTTTCTTCGGTGGTACTGTAGTGGAGTAATTTCACAAAAACAAAAATTGAACATCATGGTAGCAAAATATCGTGAGATTCAATAAAGTAAAAAAAAAATTATAAATAATAAATTTATTTACAGTGCACATTACACATAGTACCCGATTACAACGATTATATTTTCCCAGAAGAGTTTCCATCTCAGTTACCGGTCGATATAGATGCTTACCGAATGAATGCTTCCCTAGCCGTACAACTATCTCACGCCTGGATGCGTCATGCCAAAAAACAGGCTTTAAACCGTCGTAACATAGTAAAAAAACGCGTTATAAGTGGAAAGGTCATGCAGCACAACGGATACACCGAAATCGACCCGTACATAATGGATCATAGTAAATTGAATGGAATATCAGCAGATAAAACAACGATTAGAACGGTGCCAAGGAAAACGATAGCAGCTTTACAGGAATGCAAGTGGCCTGGACGTTACCATGTTATTCAGTCGGATTATGCGACGTTTTATTTGGATGGCGCGCATACGAAGGAATCTATGGAGATATGTTCTAAGTGGTTTCAAGAGAAAAGCGGGTAATTATTGATTTAAAAAAAAATCTTTCATAATTCATTTATTTGGTATCTCAACAGAGCATTAATTTCAATATCTATATATATTAACGTGTACAACCATTGACCTACAGTCAATGTGTATAAACCAGTAACGCTGCTAACAGACGGGCTGCATGTCTGCCGTCCACTAACCAAAACGCGGGTAAGTGACGAATGGTCAAATATACGTTTTAAATAGCAAAAGATAGAGCACAAAATTCTCTTTTAAACACAGTTGGAATTAGTTAACGTGCTCGACTTATCGGAACTTACCCTAACGATGCATAGCTGAAATATCATTAAAGAATTTGAATATTCTAAAACTAAGTTATGGTTTTTTATATTTCAAACAATGACTTTGTCACGTAGCCGCATTATAGTTATCGGACGGCAGATGTCTGCAGTTAAAGCGTGCAGTTGAGACTTCAAATGCAAGCGTCGGCTGTGAACGATAGCCCGAGAACTAATAGTCGCAATTGACATTCTTAGGCTCTATTTATATTGCGGCGTAACGAAATGGAATCCAACTTTTGTTACATAGCATAATGAACTTAATGACCAATTGTGCAGCGTGCAAACTAGATACCAGCCAAAATCCGCGGAAGATTTTGGTGTTCCGCCGCAATATAAATCGAGCGTTATGAGGATATAATGATTTTTTGTCTCTGAAACAACTTGATTATTTCAGTAACGGCAAAAGGTAACGATTATTTGAGAATCACATAATAGTAAAACAAAAACAGTTTTGGTGAAACTTTTCTCGACAGATTGCCTAAAATAAATTTAACGTCCTACTGTACTGCAGTAATAAAAATAAACCGAATTACTCAACTCCTACCGTAGGCGTAGGTTGGGAAAATCAAATGCGGTATACACAGATATATTTAAACATTTATATTATAACATAGACGTCGTAGGGTTTACATTAACTTCGCGCACGCAGTCCATCTGGTAGCAGCCTAACAAGGAAACAATATACACACATACAATATCAAATCTACAACAACTAAGGTGTAACACTAAAACTTGCTTATATGGATTGGTACTTCTATGAAATAATGTATAAAGAACTACAAGAAAGACCTACATTAAATAACTCCAATGAACAGTGCGCCAACTAAATTTTTGTTCATTTTCTGTTTTTAATGTAAACAGTCTTATTTATTTACTAATATTATGCTCCCCAAATTTTGTTTTTTGCTTTTTTATTTTTTTTCCCCCAAAATTTGGGGAGCATGTTACTAAATAAATAAAGCTGTGTTTACATTAAAAACAGAAAATTACCAAAAATTAAGGTGACGTAGTGTTCATTGGGGGTGTCGAATTTAGTAGGAAAATTGAGCAATATTGGAATGTTTTATGACATTACCCCGAGGTTAAGAGTTCATAGTTTTTTTTTATATATAGTTTTTATATATAGTTTTTATATATTATAATCACATTCCTTTATGACACGTAACAAGTTACCACGAGAGGTAACTGGTAACCTCAGTAGCCAAAGTATTGCCCAATTACCCTACATCTATACCACTTAAAAAAGCGTACATATTTTTTATAATAAATATAATATCACAATTAAAATTATTCCAAATTACACTATAGAAATTTTAGTGATAAATCTACTCTATATTCAAGTTACACCACTATCTTACTCAACAGTGAGTTGTGTGTCATTTGTATCCAATAGTCTATCAACATCAGTAAGCCAACTTATTAGTCTCTCCAAATAACCTCCATCCTGTTTATAACTCAGTAACAATAGTTGCATATGTTCATACCCCATTTGTTGTTCTAATAAGTACTCTAATCTCCTGTCTCGCAAAGAAAGTAACTTAATTATTATAATTGCTATCAATGTCCATTGAATAGGTTTAAACATAATATTGTTTGCTTTTAATTTAAATGTATTAACTATCAATCGGACATCAGAACTTATAGATAAAGTTAATAATCCTAATGACCGTAGCAGATCAGGCAAGACTTTGTTTAAATGTTCACAAACTATTTTTCTTCGTAAAGCATTTTGTGCATTCTTGTCAACAAGAGGAAGTTGTACGTTTTCATCATCGTCTGTTGTTGGGTTTTCTTCAACACATAGGTCAGGTAAGTTTGTTTTACCGGCAAGGAAATAATTGACTTTCAATTCCATTTTCTTACTTTCCTTCTGTAACACAGAATAATTAGGCAACGGTTTTGTTTCCCGTTTGAAAGTTTCCGAGTCATGTTTCCTATCTTCTAATTCGAGCATGTTTAATTTACGACACAAAGCTTGATATTGGTCATATGTATTTGAAGTGTAAAATATGCTTTTTGCATAGTTGTCCATATATTCTTTTATGCATTCACCTTTATCTGCTACCATTTCTTTAACTTTACTTTCACCAAATAGAAATATTAGAGTGTCTAATGTAAACCATTCTGCCAGGCATTTTTCTACTTCAATTGTTATAGTTGTTATCGCTGGCTGTTTCTTGCTCACTATTTTCTTAGCTGACAGTACAATGTTTTCAGAACATTTAATTGCTGGTGAATCAGATAACAGTTGTTCTGTGTTAGGTGTTTTGGTTAGTATAGGGTCAACAACACGCCCCTTTTTTTCTATAACATCTCCTACTATGTTCATAGGATTGGGAGTAGGCTTTTTCTTAAGAATATCTTTTTTACAAGATATTGAAGATTTGTTTGATAGGCTTCTGGTATCTTGAAGATTAGTGTTACAGTTTTTATTTGATTGTGGCGTCAAATGTTCTGTAGTATCCGTTGACTCCTTATTTTCACATTTGCCAATACTGTTTTCCTGGAGTTGATAAGTTTCTAACCCTTTTTCAGCAGTTCCTTCAGGATCATTTTCATTTCCAGCTAACTCATTAAGATTGGCATTTGCAAAGTCATAGATTGAAGAGAACATTTTGGGTTTTATATTAACCTTCTCTATTAATGCCACATCTATCTCATGTCCAAGACTACCAACATGGTCTTCAACCAATAGATTGAATGTAGGTATCTTTTCATACTCTCTGAACCACAATGGACTTGTCAACATTTGCTTCTGAACAAACATAGCGGCTTTGTAACAACTGTTACTGCAAAAGTTTTTCCTGGCTGTAATATCGTATACCTTGTTAGTTCTCAATGATATTCGATACTTTTGTTTGGGTATATCTTTCTCTAGCAAGTCATTTGAGCATAAAGGGTAACCACATTCATGCAAAATAGCTCTCTCTTCAATAATGTCTTCAAAGTGACTCTGGTTAATATCCGGCAGGCACTGAAGGAGATAAGTGTCCGAAATGCCCTTTTCAAGTAAACTTTCCACGATAACCTGGGCTTTTGCGTTACATTCACGCTTCTTCTGTATGGCTTCACGAATTTGCTCCTTCGACATTTCCTCGACTTTCGTGGGTTTCTTTATAAATTGTTTATCTTCTGCATCCATGACTAAAGTTGTGTGGCTGTATATTGTTCAATTTTGCACTATATTGCGAGAAAAACGCATAAAAATAAATAAAATCGACAACACCACTTAACCTCAAACTGGGTTGTTGATTTCTCGATAAACGTCAACTTGACATTTTCGATTAAATAGCTTAACAAATCGATATTGTGTCCGTTATTTTATCGATCAATTTTATTAATTAAATTTACGTGTTTACAGGTGTCGAGAAAAGATTTTAATATTCAGCGCAACTGGAGACCGCGATGTTGAAATTTTACTCACTCCAATAAAAGATATTAATTTTGTATTTGTATACATTGTTATTCCAAGAGCATATAAGAAATTAACTAATAAAAATGATAATTATTCTATACTGGAACAGAAAGATCTGACATCAAGATGTTGTAAGGATGCAGAAATATGGTGTGAGCTGTCAACTTCCAGCGCTAAAGTGAAAGCGTTAGAATGTGTGTCAGATGCACTTATCGATATTAAACGTCACAACAATAAAATTGATAATCTGGCGGTTTTAATAACTGGTTCTCTACATTTAGTTGGCGCTGCGCTGTCTATATTAGATACGAGTTTAAGTAAAGATTAGTATTCATTTTGTATTTGGGTGATATTGATTTATTCCTATTCTAATTAGTTTTGTACTTAATTGTATACGAAAAAATGGGATATTTCAAATTAAAGCCGACTTCCGAAAGTAATGAAAAAAGAAAACCGGAAGTAAAAGTTCTGTTAACAATTCAATAGAATTTATGTATATTTTAGACGTGTGTTGGTTATGCAAATAAAAAGTTAAAACTTTGAATCAGTGCTTTCTTTTTCCACAAATAAATATTATAATAAGGCAACTATCCGTGCCACAGTGGTACTTTCTTGACACTAACATTAATAATTTCCTAAAACGCAATGTTAATATAAATTTTGCTAAATCCGACGAAATTACTGTGTTAGAAAAAGCTCGTGGTAAATTTCGGACATAAAATCCGAAAAACTCGCGAATTTCAAGTCCGGATACGAAACCACGCTGCTTGCGAGTCGGTAGCAGTAAGCTAAACCACGGACTGAAAGAAAGGAAGAAAACTGTTTATTGTACAAACACTGACACGCATGCAAACAAAAAAAACAGGACAAAATGTAATAATAATAATAATATTCTAGAAGAAAATTACAACAATTTATATGAATAAGCAGTAATTTACCGTCATGCGAGTCGCGACTGGTACTGGTACAGGGTCAGGAGCACGTCAAGCTTGACACTTAAGTTTTATGTCCAACTTTATGCGCTTACAATACGAACGGTCCAAAGGACAGTGTCAAACTTGACGTGCTCTTGACTGTACCAACGGGACATAGGCTCAACTCACACTGGCGCAGAATCGAAGCGTCGCGGCGCGTCGTGTTTTTCGCCTATAATATATTCATTTCTATTTTCCTATTATTAAGGTACCAATTTGTGTTATGCAAATATGGAAACGGGCGTCGACGCTTGGATGTAGTCAAGCGTCATTTGAGCGCAGTGAGGCGTCAGACGCCGACCACACTGTGATTCGGGCGCACTAATGCGAGCGTCGTCGCGCGACGACGCGTGTCGTCAAGCGTTGTAGTTGAAAAACAGGACGCGACGCGACGCTTCGACTCTGCGCCAGCGTGAGTTGAGCCTTACCCAGCTTTAGCCACAACCGGTTTTTTTTTTTACCTAAGGTGTAATAATATACCCAAGGTGAGCGAATGTTTTACTTTTACAAGATTGATCACGGGCGTAAAGACATGAGTGTGTGGACGTGATCTTTTTCTTTTTTTAATGTAAGTGCCGGGACTAACAAGTCGTGCGCCTAATCCACAACAGTTGCAATGCTTTAAGCGCAACGATCTGAGCGGCACTGACACCGCGCCAAGACAACAAGACAAGTCACATCCACAACTTTCTAGAATATCGGCCTGTCTCAAAATCACCTAATTCATCTGGAAAATGGTTTAAAAACAACTGCAGAATATCTAAAATGCAAAGCCTATGAATCGTAAACGTGTTTAAAATAATCACGTGACATTATGAGCCTATGTCACGTGATTATTTTAAACAATAAAAAGCTCGTTGTCGTTTTCTCAATAAAATGTAGCTCTCTCCGGGTGCAGTTGTGTAATAAATAAGACAAAAATGAGTCATTTTGGCTTAGGTCACTATTTTTGAAAAGCAGCGACATGTGCTTGTAAACTTAATGCCTATATCACTGCTTGGCAGCAGAAAAGCTAAAGTGGCAGTACTTTACTGGACGAACTCTTTCACAAGGGGCTCTACTGCTACCAATGATATTTAATATGTTGTAAGTTCTACTAAATAACATTTTGCACTACATGTCTGGGGATCTACCCCTGTTCTCTGTCTGACATCCGTTCGTAGCTATTACTGTCAAATAAGTAATACTCTATCAAACCAAAAGACAATGTCAGGTACGAAGGTCGAATATTACTTATTTGACAGTAATTGTTTCGGACCGATGTCAGACGGAGAACGTGAGTAAACCCTCGCTATGTACAGTCAAGAGCACATCAAGCTTGACACTTTGTACTTTGGACCGTCGCTCGAGAAGTTGCTCGAGAGTTGCATTAAAATTTTTTATGTCGAGCTTGACATGCTCTTGGCCCTGTACGAAATATAATAAAATATCGATAGTGATATGTTTAATTGATCGATCAATTATAAAGTAATGCGGGCCACACTAGTCAATAGAACTGTCATTTTGACAGTCGAGTTGAGTAAAAGTCAATTCGCCGTCCAATCTATTATCATTTTCTAGATGACCTTTCATTTCATAGACGTACGTTTCAAAATAGCAAATAAAAATACGCTTTCACACCGCTTTATTAGTATTTTACGATTAATGAATGAATTGTGTTTTAGTGCAATTATCGACGGTGTTTAGAGTTTTCGAAAGTTCAAATTAGTTTGCGACGGAGTTCAAGAAGTGATGTCCTTATAGTGTTTTAAAGTTAGTATCTAATAATTATCATTAAAATGTTAGATAACAGGATCTGTGCTGTGTGATATCTAGCTGGCTGGTAAACAAATGGACTCTCATAGCCCGATGTGGATTCTATAAATTGTAGTAAGTATTATTTAACTTAGTTGTACATATTTTATCTGTTATTCTTTATAGAATTTCATTTGTTCTAAAAATATTTAGTAATTTCTAGATGCTTGAATAAACAATATGTTGTACTCTTGGTATAAAGAAATCACATGATCATATGTTGAAAGTAAAAAGAAGTCAAATTTTATAAAGCATAAAAAATTAACAATTGAGTAAGTTTGTTCACAGAAGTTTAAGTTTTACTTTATTAAATTCTCCACAAAAATTGTTGTTTTGCTTAAGTAACCATATAACCCCAAGAATGTGAATAGCATTTCTATTAATGTAACCAGGTTTAGATACAAAAGCTGGTGCACTCCCTGAGGAAAAAATATTTCCAAACCTCAGTACTCAGCACTGCAAGTGCTATTTTTGTAATTTTGCAGGAATTGCAATTTTGTGTTGAAATGCAGCAATGTACAACATTTAGAATGGCTTGATATAAAATTAATTGAGTTTTAATAACATTTTGAGCTACCTTAATTGTCGTACAAACTGCTTGTCAACACAAAATTGCTGCCCACCATAAAATTACAAAATTGCGCTTATAGTATAATGCTTCTCAGATACGGATTGTATTTTGGGTACTTCAGGGTAATAATAAATATAATTTAAAATAAGTTCAAATTTTATTTATTATTATTTTGAATTCAATGTCAATTTATTACACTTGAGTGATCAAGGAAATTTTAAAGTCCCTGTGATAAGTTTCTCCTATTTGTACGTAGTTCAAAAATATTTTTAACTGTGTTGAAAAAAAAGGAAGAAGCTGTCAATTCAGTCGAATTACATTACATTTTTTGTGCTTAGTTATGCCCACATGGCTTAGCAAGCCGAGCTTGATGTACCCTTAATTGTATTTCATAAGTAATGTTATAAATTTGACATCCAATAATACTATTATTGTACACAACATTGCTATTAATATTATTTTTTTATTAAACTGATATTTGTAAATATAGTTTACACATAATATTTAAGAAAAAGGAATAGAACAAAATTAGATTAGATACTTTATTGAATATCATGAAGTTTTACTACCATGCTATCCATATCGCACTGCTACTACAATAGTATTATAACTCAAAATATGTGAAATTTAATATTATATCATTACTGAACGTAAAATTTGATTCTCTACAGGTCAACAAAAACCGTTGTTAGAATATTGTAAGAAACAATCAAAGATATCTACTTAACTCAAGATGAGACTCACTTTATGTGAGCTAGTTCTGGTCAAAATAAACCATATTCAAAAATATAAAATTATTTTTTCTATTTTATTTTTAAATATATTTGGGAAATGGTTTGTCTCTATAATAAACTATAACATGTACATAAAGTTCGAATGATTTTTTGCGGGAAGTGAGTAATAATCGTTTTTCACCGATTCTGAGAAAGTCGACTTTTTGAGTTAATACTCTATTGTATTGACAGTGCGATATATTTTGTGGTATGGTACCTGCATAAGTGTAGAAGTTTTCGTAAGTTTCACATAGATGACTCTGACTGCAAAAAAAACTGTTTTAAACTAAACAATGACCTATAACAAGCACAAAGAGAAATCCATACAATCAGCTAAATCGATCTGTAACTCAGTCGGTAAGAGCAGTGTCCCCGCTGCAGTAACCGACTGGTTGGAGTCCAGTCTGTTTGAAGAAATTTTTTTTTGTTGTTCGATCTTTGTATCAATCTTTGTATAATAATAATAATAAAATTGTCATTTTGCAAATGTGATCTTATTACACCAAGACTGCAAATATCATTTCCATTAATGGAACCAGCCCTCGTAGCATGGCTACGCATAGTAGTCGGGACACGCGTTATAAAATTAAATAAGCGCGCGCTGTTGGCTGTCTCAATCAGATCTAATGTAGATAGCCAATAGCGCGCGCTTATTTCAGTTTTACCGCGCGTGTCGTGACTATATGTGTAGCCATGCTACGGTTGCAGGTTTAGATACAAAAATTTGGAGACAAAACAAGGTATATGTTATCGCAATTGTTATTTCCACTTCCCTTATTTTTTTTATATCCTCAAATTATTAGTTTGCGAAGAAAGCCTCTACATTACCTTGCAAAAACCTGTAATTGTAAATACATGCCACATTGTCAGAAATTTCATGCCGATAGAAGAGGACGATATAGGCTACACACACACCCTCCATACAGATACACGCCATACTGCATTTACTTGATTTCAGTCCGTAAGTGTGGTTCAAACCAGCCAACAGGCTGAGAAAAATAAAGTAAAATTATAATAATAATTTATTTCTTTACCGGGTCCATAGATTGTTAGTAAATTACAAAATGCTGAAGTGTAAGGGCTAGTTACACAATACGTACACAGCAACACAAAAACAAATAAAAATTAACAGTACTATGCGACGGCATGCAGTTGCATCTGTTGAGCGAACATCGGCGAGTCCCAGCGTGCGGACACGACACGACAGGGCACGACATGATAAACCGCGAGACGTCTATGCGAGAATAGAGGCGCGCCTCTTGCGCATGATGGCTGCAAACCCGCCTGTGTGCGCCTCCGCGAATATACCCGAGGCGCTGCAGTATACTATGCATAACAAACCAGTAGGGCTAGCATGATAAGGCGCGACTTGCGCGAGGGCGACATAAAACGCGAGATCTCTATGCGAGAATAGCAGTATCTCGCGCTTTATGTCGCTTCCGCACTAGTCGCGCCCTAGCGTGCTAGCCCTACAGATTGGACTTAAATATGACGAAAATAGGTCAAAATTACTATATTATATCTTTAAAAGGGTTACCTATCGGTAGTCCGAAATGAAATTTTGCAGAAATAACGTTTGGTCGAATTTTCATAACCTCGAAAGTAATAGAGGAAAATGTTTTTTCTTTTAAACTTTACACTTAACATTTTTTTTATTACCGTGAGGAAAATGCGTTACGCATTTCCCGCCGCTGGGAGACGGCGGGGATATGTGGGACTCGCTCCTGGGGACTATGTCATGTCGGTCCCCAAGAGCATACCCACTAAAAACCTCACGATGTTCCTGCGCGCACCTGGCGCCGGAGCCGCGGAGTCCCTTTCAGATGCTACCGCGACTCCAGTGGTGCCGGTCCGCCTTTGGACGGACCCCTACACCATCCCCCCCTTAATCATAGGGGGCGACTTGCACGGAGATGCCCCGGAACATTTGGGGCATGTGTTCGGTGAGGTAGCTCGACACCACTGCAGATATTGAGGCAGGCGGTGGAACTTTAGGGCCTCCTCGATGACGGAGAACGGGAGACTGTTGAACGCGTTGGCGATGTCCAGCGACACCGCTACAACAATGTACTATGCGAAATCGAGGTCTGTTTCAGATCAAAAAGCAATAACTTTCTTATTTGTTAAGATAGACTATTGAATTTTTGCACAAGCATAGAGTATTAAATACTGCTTTAGTTAAAGTTCAGATGCTATACTTTTATAAGAGTATGTTTATTTTTGAAAAAAAAAATTAAAAAATATATTTCAGAAATAGCTTTTATTTGATTTCCTTAAGGACAACGCTACTTATATTATTAATAAAAAAATATTATTACATTAGTTTTTTAAAAAGCAATCATGTTTAAGCTCTTATCTATTTAATTAAGAAATTAAAAGTTATAAGATTACAAACACGTATAGTAAAAAAAGTTACAAAATACTAATTTAAAAGTAAAATAATGTTACAAATGTATGTATGTCAATGTGTATATTATGTTTTATTATACTTGTTGAACTTCAGGATCCAAAATGAGTTCATTCACTTTTAAAAGATCCAGGGTATCTTCATCAAGTGCCTTCACACTTATGCTACATGTTTTTCTAAGACTGGAAATGTACGGATCTGATGTGTAGAGAAGAGTATGAAATACACCCTCATTTGTAGCTGATCGAGAGCACTTCCTGGCATGATGTAGGCGAAATTTTTTATAATCCTTATTACGGGATTCTTGTGCATCTTCGGAAAGTTGACCAATAGGAATTACACCAAAATGCTTAATGACACTTTCACCATGAATAAAAATTTTGTGTACTGAAGATGGCATGTAGTACCATTCATAATTACTTACATAAATCCTGGCAGTTTCCATGGCATATTTGCCAAATTTTTCTGCATTTATCATTACGCCTGATGAAAGAGCTTGTAAAATAATATACAACCTTTTGATCAAATTCACATCCACTCCGGTGATTTCAGAAGAACAATTTGCGTTGTGAAAAAATCATTTAGCAGTATTACCGTCATTGGTATTACCACTTCCTTGTCGTGGTTTGTCGATGATCACTCCTAGCTCCTCCCGAAAAAGTTTTTGTACTAGGGTTTTCTTTTCTTGCTTTTGTCTTTTCTTTTCTTCACTTGTGGCTGACCATGTCCGAAAAGAAAGATTATATGAGATATGTAATACCATTTCCATACAACGAATCCAGGCATGCAATGTGGAAAGTCCGTATTGATATGCATTTTCATTTTCTGGCCTACTAGTGACTTTAGTCAGATCATTCATTTGCCGTGGAGTAGCTCCACAGATTGTACACGTGGATCCAGATGGTGTATCTGTTAATACTTGAGCTACTTTGCCATCTATCATAGTCAGAAAGAGTTCGTGCTTCACATTCACTCCTTCACCTTCTTTATTAATTAATGATGGCCGCAAGGAAATTATTTGGTTCTTTATTTCATCAACAACAGCTTTAGTTTTTTCAGGGGTTTCTTTACAAAATTCTATCGATATGGGCCGACAAAAACGGACTGACGAAGGCACTGGATTTTGCCAGACAATGTCGCCAGTAAGCTCATTGACTAATTTAATAGGCACTAACGACGTAATAAACAAATTTGTATCAGAAACAAGTTCAGACTCCTCTGGAAGTTTTTGTTTGTACTGACTTAGACCAGATGAACCATCACATCCCCATTTACTGTATGAAACTAAATGACACAATCCATTGTTATACACCGAATCTATGAC